AGCAAAGGATCTTAATTTATGCCTTTGGTTAGCGGTTGTTTTGTATTTATATTTGGGTGGTAAGAGCAACGATCGTGGGTTTCTCTGCCATGCTCTTTCCCCACAGGAGCTCTAGGTGAGCCTGGCACTCTCATTCTATGTTAAATGGTTGTTAATGTTTTTGTTGTTCTTTATATTTGTCACATGTTTAATTTGAAGACTGTTGTATGTAGATAATAAAGTTAGGTGTATTTACTCTGATTTTGTTTTATATAATTAAACCATACATCCCCTCTACAAAGTTAGTAGCCAGCGCTTTCCAGTCAATAAGAAAAATAAATACACACAACGTAGGTAGTCCTTAATGACGATCACATAGTTTTGACCACAACTACGTTTGTATTATTTTTTTCGATCGAACCTAGGGTTGTTATACTACAAACTGAAACTCGGAACACAACAAGGAGAAGAATACTTAGACGGCTGATTTACATCAATTGCTCGAAGTGTCCCCCATTTTGATTAATAACCAAACGAATTCGGTTTTTAAAAAACTGTTCAACATTGGTCAGCATGTCTGGCGTAATTTCTTAAAATGCTACTGTAATGCGCTGCCACATATCTTCCGCGGTAGTTGATGGTGTGACGTAAACTTCGCTTTTTATAAATCCCCATAAAAAGAAGTGGCAATTTGTCATATCTGGACACCTTGAAGGCCAACTCACTGGTCCCCCGCGTCCAATCCATCTGTTGGGAAAAGTTTCATGTAAAAACTGACGAACCGCAACGGTATTGTGATGTGGAGCAAAATCATGTTGCATCCACATTCTTCGAAGTGTAGCTAAAGGAATATCGCCTAACAAATCTTCTAGAGTGTTTGTTAAAAAGTTTAAATAAACTGCTCCAGTTAGATGCTGGTCAAAAAAGGATGGTCCATTGGCATGGGGTTCCCAAAATTGCTCCCCACACGTTCAAGGATATGAGTTGTCCGGAATTGGTGAGGATTTACTGTTTCATAAAGATGGCAATCATGACTATTAACGAAACCACTTTTATGAAAAGTAGCCTCATCGGAGAACATGATCCGTTAAAAAAAAGGATCATCTTGATTTAACATCTCAAGTGGCCACTGACAAAACTCCAGTCTCTGCTGAAAGTCTACTTTTAGTAATTCTTAGTATAATTGGATGCGGATGCTTTTTAAAATCCTATGTATCGACGTTGTACTAATCCAATTGCAAGGCCTTCTTGACGCTGTTACATAGCTACTTTTTCAGACTAGAAAAGAACCTGATTTTTCTGGAAAACTGTTAGAGATAAATACGGAAAACCTTATATCAGTCGAAAGGGCATTTAATTTTGCAGTCGCTCATGACAATTAATATGGGTCATTCCATTTGAAAAAAAAAGTTTTTCAACTCGTAAGATTATTAAATGTAGGTCTCAGTATTTCCGAGTCTGAATAACGTACGCGTTGCTCACAGATGACAAGTTGGAGTAATTTATGCCAAAACAATCTGTAGAAACTGCAGGTTTCTAACTATTACGGTTTAGCCGCTATCTAGCCTCATTTAGAGAGCTGTAATTATGATTTTTTTCAAAAAACAACTGATTATCTCGAAAATGGTAAGTTTTAAAAACTATGTAGGTACATTTAATAAACTCTTCAACGAATTCAACAACGCAATAATATACAGAGTGTTCCATTTAAAATAACAAAGTTATATAGCGACCACGCGAAATGGAACACCCTGTAAAGGCAATTTAACGACGTCTGTTACGACAAAATCACAAGAGCGTAGCCCTAGTGATATTGCTGAACAGCTGGAATTAAATCACCTACGAAAGTAAGTACCACAAAACAAACATAAAAAAATATCAGGCCAAAATCTAAGTTCGAATGGTATTTGGTGAGACAATTTCATGAATAGAATAAAGTAAAAAATTTAATCAATACTTTATTTAAAAGTGCAGAAACAAAATACAATGAACGCGTATTAACAATAAACATAATATTTTTTTAAAGTGAACAAATATTAAAAACACAGTTATTGTAAATAATAATTTGCCCTGTTAACTTGACTTTCTCAATGATTCTATTGTGGATGCTGATTATATGGCTGATTTTGAATGAGCTGTTGACATTGACTCGTTATTCAAAGGTTTTTTTCGAAGATTTATTACAAGATTTGAGTGATGATCGTTGTCGAGCGGTAAATAAAGTTTTTAAGGTTTTGAGTTCGTAAATGGGATTTATATATGAGTGGAATTGTCTATGAAAAAAGCTCAAGTGCTCAATGAATCGTAAAAGAGGGTAAATAAATAAATATACAGTTTTAAAAACTTGGGGAAGATATTTAAAGAGTAAATAAACAGTTTTGAAACCGCTGACTCTATCGATAGCTCGGCTAACTTTGACGAGAATCTTCACAAATCGCTGTACATGAAGATGATTGCAGTTTTCATCAGCGTGATCATATGTTACCACCATGTTCCGTAATTCACTGTTACTGTATTGAACTAGCAATTTTTCTATTTACTATGAAAAACGGCGCGCTATCTGCGGCCACAATTATTCATCTCTTTATGGAGGGGACAATTCCACGGGTGCTCAACAAGTTTTAACAATTTTAATGCTTTTGATAATAGAAAAATTTATTATTAACGCACTTGACTTACCATCGTACAAATTGAAGCTTGAACTTTTTTAAACAATTGATTCAGTACTTTGTTTCAAATTCCATATTTGATTTTTTCTCAAAGAAAACGGTGTATATTTGTACACAACATTCTATCCCCCCTTACCTTTTTTGTCTTTCTATCAAGAGAAAAATAGTAACGCCTGAAAATTTTTGGAAGTTTTCTTGTCATATGTTTGCTTTATAATTTGCACAATATTCTACAAAGAAATTTCTACTGTATTCCTTACCTGTCTGTAAATGCAGGCGTTCAGCACAGCCAGAGACCCGAACGGCAACAGGTACATGCAAATCAAGTACATCCAGTGGATGTAGATCGTTTGGTAGAGGATGTTATCCCTGAAGGACGACTGCTGCGGACAGTAGATGGTGACGTTGTACTCCTTGTGCCAGTACTTCTGCACCCTCCCCTCCCACAACCTCGGTAGGTTGTACATGACGGAGAAGATCACTATCCCGATAACGTATATCCTAGCCCTCCCGTAAGTGCACAGCGACCTCGCCCTCAAGGGATGACACACGGCCACGAACCTCTCCAGGGACACAGTTATGGTAAGATACACCGATGCAGTCTGTGTCACCATCGCCAAAGGGAACACGAAGGTGGTGATGTGGGGGTACACTATGAAGTAGTACGTGAATAGACACTTGCAGTAGGGGTATATCCCGGGCAGTCCGAACAGCAGCATGCTGGTGATTATCAGGACGGTGTCTATCCTAGCCAGGCCTATCAGGAGGTAGTTGATGCTGGACCTCATCTGGGGCCTGGAGAGGATTATCATGGAGATGATGTTGCCCAGCAGGCCCAGCAGGCCGATGATGTTGATCAGGAGGCCGTTGGTGACGAACCTGTAGAAGTTCACCGCTTCCGACTGGTCGTAGATGCAGGAGTCATCGGTCGATGCGGTGGTCGTGACGCTGGACCAGTTCACCGCGGCGAAATCTTCGCCAATAGGTGACATATTGGAGCAGTTTTTGGTCGTTTCAAGTTTTGGGCTTCTTGAACATGTTTCGCAGGGCGTTTACTATTTTTTTCGCGAGAGCTGCCACGATGTGCATAGTTTTATTTTGTTTACGTGTTTTCGTTTCGGTTTTCTTTGGGTCATCTTTGGTTTATGGCAAGTTTGGTCCAGATGTGCCTGCAACAAAGAAACAAAGCTGAAGGGAAGTACCAGAAACAATGTTTGGTATACAGAGTGATTTATCTGATTATCGGTTGACTCCCATAGTTTATTCGTAAAGAAAGCTCAATAAGGATAAAAAATGTTGATTTTGATTAGACTAAACCACTAACGTTCAACTAGTAGTAGTGAAAACAATTGACAATATGTTCTTTATTGCAATGTTGTCATTCGAATTTTCACCAGCAATACTTATATATGTTTTCCGTCACGAAAATTGAATAATTTCAAATATTTCGAATTTTCACCACCAAGAACGGCGGTGACAACATTTTTAACAGTAAGGAGATGTTTCGCATTGTATTGGCTATGTCCTGTCCAAATTTTGTTCGTACAACTCTATTGGTTTCGACAATTCAGTACCTATATATGTTTCAGCCAGGAAAATTGAATAATTTCGAATATTTCGAATTTTCACCACCAAGAACGGCGGTGACAACATTTTTAACAGTAAGGCGATGTTTCCATTGTATTAACTATGTCCTGTCCAAATTTTGTTCGTGTAACTCTCTTGGTTTCGACAATCCAATACCTAGGTATATATGTTTTCAGCCACGAAAATTGAATAATTTCAAATATTTCGAATTTTCACCATCAAAAACGGCGGTGACAACATTTTTAACATTAAGGCGATGTTTCGCATCGTATTAGCTACTATGTCCTATACAAATTTAGTATCGTACAACTCTCTCGGTTTCGAGAATTCAATACCTATGTATGTTTTCAGCCACGAAATTTGAATAATTCCAAATATTTCGAAT